ATATAAAAAAAAATAACGATGAAAAATTAATTATAAAATATAAGCAAAACAAATGTTGAAGTAAATTTAATCAATTGTTTTTGGATACGGAGCATTTTCTTTTTTTTTTCAAGTTTTTGATCTAAATATTTATAAAAGCCATATTGAGTTGAATTGTTGATATTAATTCACTTGCGATGAAATAACACACGAATTGTCAATGAGCCAGGATTCTAAGACATTGCCACTTAGAAAGACTAAACTTTTCAACTATTTTATTTAGGAGCTATAATAAATAAGCTGAAGCTTTCGGTATTAATGAAGGTTCTCCTTGTAAATGACATCCAAACTCAGAAGAAAATACATTAAAGAAAATGGTCGAGATAATACTATCGAAAAAATGTCAAAGGAATCAGTAAATAAAAAAATTTATATAATGATTACCTTCGAAGATGACACCAAAGCTCCCCTCCCCGATTTTCTTTCCAACTCTATAGTGTACTCCCACAACATTTGATGAGTGTAGACCATGTGAACTGTTCGCCATGCTATTTTGGATATGGTGGTGATGATTCGCCATCTTGACAGGTATATATATATATTTTTTTTTGTTTTGCTATAAAATCTTGTAAATTTTTTTTTAACAATACTTATGATGGCAAGTCATATAAAATTATTATTTAACTAAATATTATTAATAAATCGACCCGAAACTCGGCTTTAAATCTGCAAAAGAAGGAGTGAAGGGCCTAATAAGGGAAGGAAATGGAGTTCAAAAAAAAAAGAAACGACAGGATTTTCTAGTTGCAAAAAAAAAAGAGGAGAATAACAGCTTTTGTATGGCGGCTTTTTTTTTATTTATATATTATATATTTATAAAGTGAACTTTTAAAAAAAAGCAACACCTATCATCAGTAAACTGCAAATTGTGTGGTTCAAGTTGGTTTTATAGGTTCAGCTATTTATATTTTCGCATATATTGATTAACTATATTTGTTTCAAAAATTATAATTTGACTTAATAAATAATATTATTATAAAATTTCTTAATATATTAATTATTTTTTTAATAGTTTGATTTATAATTTCAATAGTATAATAAATATGTTTAATAATAAAGTATAATTATTAATGATTTTAGTTATAATATAATTTATTAATAATCTTTTTGTTAAAACTAAACTATATCTTATCTTTAAAAATAAGAATTAAAAACTATTATTTTATTATAAATATTATATATTAATTTGAAATTTATTATATTACTTTATTTATTATTTATAAATTTATTTTATATAAAATAATAATATTCTATATAAAATCATAATATATAAACTATAAGTTAAATATAAAAGAATTACTTAATAAATATGATTTTCAATATAAAATATATTTAAATTACAGCTAATTTTATAATTTATGGATCATTAATAATTTTTCAGTCATATTCAATCACAATATTTTATAGTAATTTTATTATAGAATATTTTTAGTCATATTCAATCGCAATTTATTAGTAATTCATGAATTATGAAATTAGCTGTAAGAAAAAGTTAAATTTTTATTCTTTGATTTTAATTTTATTAATAAAATAAAAGGCATTATCTTATTAATAAAATTTTTAAATATAAAAAAACTTATAAAAAATAAAAATATTATTAATTATTATAAAAATTAGATTTTAAAAAATTAAATTTGATTTTTAATATGATTAATATTATTAATTTTAAAAATATATTATTATAATATTATATTTATTTATAAAATTAATTACAAACAATAAGTTAAAAATTTATATTAAATAATTTACTAATAATTATAATAATTATAATATAAATTTAATAAAAAATATATAAATTATTTATATATAAAATCATTTATTAAAGTTAATTATTAATTTTTTAAGCAAATTTGAATAAATAGGATATGATCTAGGAAAATAACATTTTGAGACTTATTATTTATTAAGTCTCAGAAGTTTATTTTTCTAGATCATATCCCAAAAATTAAAAAAAAACTATCAAATTATAAAATTAATTATTTAAATTTAAATTAAAAAAATTGTCATTTATTATATAAATTTTTTAAAATTTTTACATTAATTCAAATATATTTTAAAAATAATATTTTAATTAAAATTTAATATTTTATAAAAAGTAATTTAAAATTTAAATTTATATATTAGTTTAATAATAATAATTTCAAAATTTTTTTAAATTTAATTTATTTTATATAAAATTAATATTAAAAACTAATTTTATTTTTATTTTTTTAATAAAAAGGGATAAAAGAATAATAAAATACTAATAAATAAAAATAATTCTAATTATTTATTTATATAAATACTTTGCAATAGAAAATACTAAATTATAAAAAATTCTAATTTTATTTTATATATAAAATATGATATTTTTTAAAAATCAAAGTTATAAGATTATTTAATTAAAATTAATTTTATTTATATTAATATATAACACATCAGTTTTAATTAAATAAATTTATAATAAATTAAATTAATATTAAAATTAATAATTAATATTTATATTTTTTAAAATAAATAAATTTTTAAATTAATTTCTTATTAATGTTTTAAATAAGATATAATTAATTTTATTGATATTATATATAAAATTATTTATATCTAAATTATAGATTATTTTAGTTAAAATAATATATCTAGAATAATATATATATATATTTATAAATATATTTTTCAATTTTTATATATAAGTTTATTTATATTTATAATTAATATTTGTTAATTAATTAATTAATTAATTAACTGTATTATAAGTTTAATATAAAGTAAAAAAAAAAGGCTTTAAATTTAATTATTACTGTAAATAGCTAATTAAAGAATCCTTTAATTATTGTATTTTTTCATATTTTTGAAGTTTAAAAAATGTATTATATCTCATATAAGATACACTGAAGTTTTAAAATTTTTTATTTAAAAATGTATTGTATTTGAAAGTATAATATTTAAAATTTGAAAATACCTGTTTTACTTTAGTTAAATCATAAATTTTTATTAGTTTCGCCAAATATTCTTATATAGTGAGACCTCTCTAAATGCATCCCCTTGGGACCATAATGAAAATTTGAAAAAATGTGTATTTAAAGGGGGTGTGCATTTAAAGAAAGAAATTTTGTATGATCTTTATATACTTGGGGCTGTGTGGAATGTGTATTTATAGAAAAAATATATATGCATGCATTTAGTGAGGGTGCATTTAAAGAGGTCTCACTGTATTTCTTTTCTAATTAAAGTACCTACTAAAGTAGTGATGTGCACTTGGAAGATTGGAAGCACCATTGGAAGCACCTTTGGAAGGTTTGGAAGCATAATTTATTAATAAAATTATTTGAATTGGAAGCTTCTAATCAAATTTTTTACCATTGGAAGCATAAAATGCACATCACTGTACTAAAGCATTAATTATACTTTCTTAAATTTGAAAATATATATTAGATCTAAACAATTTTAGTCAGCTATTTACAATAGTTTTATTAGATTTATTAATAATAATAATTAATAATAAATTAAATAATATTAATTTTATTTTTAATTAAAAAATCACATATTTTTAAAAAAAATTTATGATATACAAATATTTATTTAAAAAATTATTTATTTATGTTATATAATATAAATTTTATATAATTTGCTATGTTTAAAATATTTATATAATAATATATTTAATAGTATAATTAATCTATTGCTTTATTAAATTAAAATTAAATTAAATATTTTTAAATAAAATATTAATTATTATAAAAATATAATATTATTTATAATTATTAATATATAATAATCATAAAATTAATATAATTTTACATTTATTTTAAGATTTAATTTAAATATATATATTATACTAGAAAATCAGATTTCAAAAAAATTTTTATTGTATTTTAAATTTTTGATATATGATTTATATTAAAACAAAATTTATTTAAATTAATTATATATAAAATATTTCTTCTATTTATTATAAAATTAAAATAACTAATAAAAGTAATTAATATTTTTTATTATAAGATTAGTTTTAATTCCAATTAAAAAAAACTAATTTTTTAAATTTAAATATAATAATTATAATTAGATAATATAAATTAGGTTTAGTATTAGATTATACTAAAATTTATTAAGACTAAAAGTTGATTATTTTATTTTATTAATACTAATAAGTATAAATACAAAAAAGTATTTTAAATTGTTCAAATTTTTTTTTAATTTTTTTTAGCTAATATTACATCCAAAAATATTAGATTATTGTTTTATTATTATATAATGTATTACTAAATGTTGATAGAAGATCAAACATTGCCATATTTGAATAATTTATTGACATGAAATTCTATATCTATTTTTAGTCAAAAATGCAACAAAAAGAAGTGTGTTCTAAAGAACGTTAGTTGTGTGACCTATATAACTGATTTGTCATGGTGTATTACAGTTTTACAGTAGTGGTTTCTCATTAGATTTTTTGAATCACAGATTGATTTGTATCAGATAAAGATGATAATGCCAAAAAGATTTGCAACTTCAATAATCGTGGCTGACAATTTTTTGTCTTTGCATATCTTTTTGATAATTTCTTATCGGATGCTAATTGAAGTTTAGATCCAAAATTATTGCTACACACAATTTCATCCATCGTAGTTCATTGAAAATGCGAGCTTCGAATTGAGTTCCTCGATATATGAAGAACGAAAAAAAAGAAGATATGAATTGTTTAGAAATGCTAGTATAAAGACACAAATGCGCGACAGTGAAATATAGACTTAAAAGTTCGACGAAATATCGTCGGACCCATTTATGTATATCTACCTCATAAGCATAATTTATATTTTTTTAAGTGCGGTAGTTTCGCAAAAACTTTAATACCTAATAAGCATAATGCATATTTAATCCACGTTTAGGCTTTTCTAGAAATTCACGTGATGAGTTTCCAATATTCTAAATCTGGAATTTTTAATAAATCTGTCCAAATATTTCTTTTGATTAGAAATAAAAAAAAAATGGAGCGAGATCAAGTAATAAGAGAACCAAACTTAATTTATTACGAACAAGATCAACTGGTAGCTGAAACATTTTTCGAAACCTTTGAGACAGAAGAAAATGGAAAATCTGACGACGGTGATTCTACAGCAGATTCTCAAGCTTATTCGGAAGAATTAAGCTCATGTGCTTTAAATACTTTTAGAAGCTCGATCCTGCATTACAGTTTCTCAAAACCTTTGATACCGACATTATTGGATTCCACAGAAGACATCACCACTTCTCATTGTCCCATTTGCTTGCAAATCTATCAAGAGCAATGTTATTTGCAGCCTTGTTATCACACTTTTTGCATCTCTTGCATTCGTCAATGGCTTTCAATTACACCCAACTGTCCGCTGTGTAAATGCAAGGTTGAATTTTTAATTACTAACGTGGATGATTCAAAAGGAACTTTTAATAAGCTTTATCTAGATGATACGATGAATGATGACATTAAGAGTAAAATGAAAAGACAAAAATGGATTTTGGAGATATCAAATATAACCGAAAAAGATAAAGGAATTTCAACAAATTATTTTATGGGAACGAAGGCGATAAAAAATAGACTGACAATTTATTCGGAAAACCTTTTCCCAACCAATGTTCCTATAACAAATAAGATTTTTACATTTAACATATACGATATTGAACGTGTTAGACATTTTATCACGCGCGATTTGAAAGTTATACTCTCCGACACTTATGACGTGGTAGTGGATGAATTTGTTTTATCGGTTATTTCATCATATTACAAACAAAATAAAACAAAAAATGAAATTATGGAAAAGTTGAAACCTTGGTTAGGAAAGTTAACAGAAAAATTTATATATGAAATATTTCAATTTACAGAGAGTGAATTAAGTATTGATATTTGGGACAAAATGGTGAGCTATGCTTGAATGATGTCCTCATGATCTTTAGCAAAATTTGCGGCATCATCCCTTCCTTTTCTATCATCTAAAGACCATAGAATAGGAATCGGTAGGAAGATTAGAGCAATTAATAATAAAAAGCCATATCTAATTTCGTGCGTGATATCAATTATGATTGCTACCAAGGTTGGTCCAAACCAACTTGACCCTTTATCAGTTATGGCATAAAGGGCAAAAAATTCTGTTTCTCTTCCATTCGGAACTAATTTTCCAAACATCGTTCTGCAATAACTCTGTAGAGATCCGAAAACGAAGCCAAACCATACAGCCATGATGTAAAGTTCACCCGAAGTTCTTAATCCACCAATTGGTAGAATTAACCCAAGACATCCATAAATAGGAATAAGTAATAACATGAAAAGAAGTAAAAGAATTGTATTTTTAATACTAAGCTTAATTAATTGTGGTAATAATAAAGTTGAGGTTAAGCCGGATACGGGAACGATCAAAGACAAGATAATCAAGCCGGATTCAGGAATTCGTAATGCAGTTTTTGCGAAAAGTAAAGCTACCGATGTTATGGTAGTGAAACCATCTGATATCAGGATCCATGACATTAAGAATCGAAAAGTCATTTCCAACTTTTTAGCTTCTAATATCGTTTTCCATAATCTCATCCAAGAAAATGATATGTAATCTATCCATCTTAATTTTCTTTCTTCGTTAAGGATCAAAGGAGGTCCAGGTCTAGGTTGTAACCATTTAGCAACCAATAAAGAAAATAAAAACCACCAAATTCCAGAAAGAAATACACCAATTTGTAAACTATAAATTGTGGAATGTAATAAAAATGAAATACAAAGACAAAGGATTAAAAGGATTATACCACCAAAATATCCACTCGCAAAACCACGTGCAGAAATATGAGTTGAAATGTGATCTTTAGTTTTTATTAACTTTTCAACAAGATTAATTAATGTCAAATCTTGCGAATTTAAAAGTCCTCGCTCTTCTAAAATACTTTCATGATCATCAACTTGTGTATCAACATGTTGATGTTGCGTTTCTACATTACTTATATAATCTTTGATTTCATTTGAAATTCTTCTTACATCTTTGTGATTTCTAATCATCACTGGTAAAAATCCATTAAAGCAAACAAACGCTGCTCCAAAACTCACATTTCCAATAATAGCCAAAATACCAGCAATTATGAATGATCCGGAAGGAATCAATAAAAATAACATTGCTGAAATGCTTCCAGCAAAAGCAAAGTATAAAAGCAACGTTTTACGCAACTCTCCATGATCTGCGGATGCTCCAATTGAAATTGCTGTAATTGCTTGCAAGATTACGCTCAATGATAAAGTGTATAAACTGAACGAGGCTGTATCAACCCAAAAACCAAAGATGTTTATAAAGCATCGTACTCCTTCCGAAAACTCTTTATTACAAGGCGTTTGATAATCGATGCTACTTACACCATTCTCAAAGGCAAATTGTTCTAAAATTAAAGGTATAAAACTCGATATTGAAACTACCGAATAAACTTCACAAGCAAATGCGTAAATGTACCATGCAAATAATTCTTTTTTTGTTAAAATAGGTTCCAATTTTCCATTTAAAAGTTGTTCGATCGTTATTTTAATTGGAAGATGCTTATTCGAATTATTAATCTCCAAGTTGGAATTATCGATTTCAAATTCATCCATATCAAAATTTTAAATTTTCTTTAATATTTTCAAATTTTTATTTATTAAACATTTTGATGTGACACATAATGCGTGTAACGTCAACTAACAAAGGGGAACGTTGACGGCTAACCCTCCCAGACTAGTTTCTTTATATTTTGTTTGCATATCCATTCCAGTTTGACGCATCGTTTCAATTACTTGATCTAGTGTAACTTTCGCAACCGATTCTCTGCTTTTTAACGCAAGCTGAGCAGCTCCTAATGATTTGATCCCACCTAATGCGTTTCGTTCTATACATGGTATTTGAACTAAACCATTGATAGGGTCGCAAGTTAATCCGAGATTGTGTTCCATGCCGATTTCTGCGGCATCTTCAACTTGTTCCAAAGTGCCTCCCTATTTATTTATTTCGAAATGTTTACATTATATAAAAGTTGTTGAAACCGATCCTTTAAATATAAACATTACCATTACTGCGGCAAATGCTGCTGCCGCCATGCTACAGGCTTTCAATAAATCTTGTTTGTTAGAGTATATAACCGAGTTTAATAATTTATTAATAAAATTAAATATTACTTACCGACTCCGATTTCTCCTTGACAGCCCATCTTTTTATTATTTTAACAAAATTTACACCTTAATATAATAAAAAACGAAGGCTAAAAAAGGCGATTCACATATTAGTTGTATATTACCTCTGCTGCGCTAATGCTAGCTCCTTTTTTATAAAGCATACCAATAGCGGCACTTGTAAGTAAAAAATGCATAATATCGTCTTCTTGATTGTGCTCTGATATGAATTCCAAGTAATATTTAAGCACAGCCGGAATCACTCCGCTTGCTCCGTTTGTGGGGGCTGTAACAACTTTACCACCCGCGGCATTTTCTTCGTTTACGGCAATAGCATAAACCGATACTATGTCTAAAATATTCATGCTTGATGAATTTTTAATGACCGATGGTAAAGGTTGTAACAATGAATTCTTTATTACAGCGGATCCTGATGGGATATCAGGGTATAAATCTTTTAAAAGTTTATTGTATAATCCTGGTGCTCTTCGGCGAACTTTTAAAGATCCCGGCAGATATTCCTCCGTGCTTAAACATCCGTTTTGAATACTTTGATTCATTGTATTCCAGATTTCCATTACCTTACATAAAGGATCCATTATTTCTCGGAATCGTCTCAAGATTGGGTCATAATAAATACAAATAGATACCTTTCTTTCTATTTCTGCTTTGCTGCGCCATTGTAACTCGTTCCGGTAGACCAATTGAGCGATAGTCAAGTTTTCACTTTTACAAATCTGTAAAAGTTCTTCAGCGTTACTGAATGGAAATTTAACATGTTCATGTTTAGCAATATGTAAGTCCTTTACGCTGGCTTTCTGAGAAATAATTTCCACATTTTCATGAATTTCGGTTTCACCGACCACAAATCCTCCTCCAATTGAAAGGAATTCACCAGAAGCTATACAATCCCCTTGTTCATCAAAGGCATTTAAACGCATACCATTCGGATGTTTTGGTAAAGATTTATGATAATGAAATATAAGTTGTTTTTCCAGATTAAACTTAATAGGTCTCTTTCCATCTAATTTGATAATATCTTTATGATATCAACCAAATTATTGATTAGATAAATAAAAGGTTAAAATTAACCAATCCACTATTAGTATTATGAATTTAACCTGTCTCGGAGATTTGTGCAATCCTTGGTGATATTTTTGTTGTATCAATCCCTTCGGGAGTTTCTCCTTCCAATCCCATTAAAATTGCGTTAGGTGTACCGTGACCTTTACCGGTTAGGGCAAGTGATCCATATAGATCGATACGAATTCTTGTAACCTAAAAGTTAATTTAACCCTTTTATTTGTTTTTTTTTTTTTTTTTTTTAAAAAAAAAAAAAAGTAGAAATTTACCTTATGCAATACATTATTTTGTTTTAGTTCTTTTATAAATTTCTTTGCAGATCGCATCGGACCGACAGTATGACTAAAATGTTGTCACATTTTGTTATTATGAATAAATCTTAACACGATTTATGATTTGATCATCGCAAACCTTGAGGATGGTCCTATACCAATACTAAATAAATCAAATGTGCTAATAACGGCATGTTCATTGGCATCAGAAAATTTTAATGAAGTATTAAATTTATCATAACCATCATCCTTAACCATAGAATTATATGACCTGAAATTAATTATTCTTGTGGTTGGTTTAAAATCAAAGGTTTTCCTCGCAGAAGGTTGTAGTAACTGTTCGATATGGAATCCAAGATTGATTCTTGGAATTTTATTAGGAATCTGTAAGAACCTCATTACTATTCAAATCAGACAGGAGAATGAGTATTATGCCACAAGTATTGGTTAAATGTTATTTATTAGTTTTGTTTCACAATTAATCGTCATAACAGATTGTTTTAAATGTTTATAGTTCTATTGGTTCGAATCTTTCATTCGCAGCAATTTTTTAATGGTTAAATTACAAATAATATAAAAATAAACCAAATAATGCACAATTTATACACGAGTCACGTGAATAAATAAATCAAATTTAAACTTGGAAAACATCATCATTAAAAAACATTAAAAAAAAAGCATTGCAAAAATATCAGTGATGACAAATTATGAGGTCATCTACTATTTTTTTTTAAATCACATTTGATCATTTTAACTTGAAATTTATAATATAAATGAGCATTTGAGATTATTTAAGATCATTTGCCAACATTGCAATATATTGTTTGAAAAAGAATTTTATAAATTGTCTTTCTTATTAAAAGGTTTATATTAATAATTGTTAATAAATTACACTAAATTTATTTAAAAGATTTTTTTTTTATGTATTTTAATTTTAAATATCAAAAATATTATATTAGAAAATAAAAATAAAAAATCTTGAAAAATTTTATAATTAAAAAATTATAATAATTTATTATATTAATTCAATAATATAAAAAGTTTATATATATAAATATTTTAAAATAAAATAAAAAAATTATAAAAAATATTAAATATATAATAAGACTCTTATTATTAATTAAACTAGCAAAAATTTTTTTAAAATATTATAATATTAATTATATTCTAAATAAATATTTTTTTATAAATTTTTAGATTAAAATATTAATATAGTCTTTGTTTATAAACTAATAATTTTTAGTAAATAAATATTTATTTAAATTATAAAATTATAATATATTTTATATTATTTAATATTTTAATAATAATAAAATTATTAAAATTAAAATTTATGTAAAAATTAGATTAATAAACAAATAAAAAAAAAATACAAAAATATAATTTTTTTAAAAAATAAATGAGTAAATATATATAAGAATCTAATATTATTAATATATAAATTTATTATATATTTTGTTATTATCAATTATTATTAAATAATGTTAATTACTATTTTAAATTTATATAACAAATTTTAAGAAAAATTTATAAACTTCAAATAGTAATGATTTTTTAAAATTAATAAAATAATTATTAATTATTACTTTATAAAAAATTTATTTAAAATTATAAAAATTAATAATAAATAATCTTAAAATTTGCAATTATTTAAAATATATAAATTATAACAATAAAATAATTAATATTTTAATTAAAAAATACATTTTAATATATTATTATTAAATTTTAATTTAAAATTTTTATTTTAAGTAAATATAATTCTAGTTTAAAATTTTTGTTATAAATTTATATAAATTTAAAATAAAATTAATAAATATTCTATTAATATTTTAATTTAATATAATTATTATATTTAATTCAAATGCTAATTATAATAATTTAATAACAATAATAACAATTATATAGTAAAATACAAATATGATGTGATATTATTAATTTATAAATAATGTTAGAATTTTTATTAAAACTATTATTAAAGAAATAATATGATAATTTTGATTTATAATAATATTGTATATTATATGATAATAATAACTAATTAAAATTTTTTATTATTAATTAGATTATTTTTATGATAAATGGTTTGTATAATTTGAAAAAATAGGTTTTATTATTTATATTAAAAAATATTTTAAATATGATATTAAATATTGTAAATTTTATATAAATATTTAGTTATATTTTTAACTTTTTATTTATAAAGATAGAATTTTAAAATATGAATATTTAATTTTATTAATTTTTTTTTATTTAAATATTACATTTAATATAAGTATTCTAATTCTAATTCAAAATAATATAATTTTATGCTTTATTTAAAACGAAATCTGTATTATTTTTATAATTATCATATTTTAATAAATATTATTAGATTATTAATTTTTATTTAAAATACTATAATAAAATAATATAATAAAAAATTTTGATAAAGACTTTTTATGAAAGAAATTTAAATAGTAATTTTTATTGATTGATATATAATTTTTCCTTATCCCTGTATATTAATTATTACAAAATAAAAATATAAATAGTAAATAAACAGGTTGCAAACCCTGTAAATATTAACATAAAGATTTGGTTTCCTAACACTAAAAGTATCAATATAATAAAATGTGCAAGATAATAATTATATTCAGTCTCGCAGGTTGTACATTCTTTAAATTTACCTGTTATTGTCTCAAACAATCAATTTAAATTACTTTAAATGGGTTGATAAATGGAAACCTCTTTTTTAAATCGACTTATGATCATTTGATCGTGAGAAAGATATCATTAGTTTATAAAAAATCTATATTTTTTTTTAAAAAAAAAAGACCCATTTGAAAATGAATGTGCGTAAAACAATTTTTTTTGTTAATTTGTATATTTTTAGAATTAATGATTGTAATTAAACATTTATTTCATAGTCGGCATTAAAAAATAAACTTCCAACCTTATGTCAAACACTTTTTGAAGCTAAAGCTGCGAAACGTTTAACGTGGGTGGATTATTTTCAACACTTTCATATAATAAAATATGTTTATATTTGTTTCTTATCAGATTTGCAGATATTGGCAAAAAGATCGATAAAGATGAAGTTTGGGTTGCAGCCGTTTTTTATGGACAGGTTTCAATACATTAACGATAATTTCATTATTTATTAATTTATTTGTTATAATTCGCAATAAATTTTTTTGATTTTTCAATATTACTTAAAGGCTAAACCAGAAGAATCAGATCTGAAGAAATTAAGTGTTGTGTTAGACGTTAAAGAAAATTATTTGGTCACTGAACTTGGACCAAAGACTTATTTTCCTGATCGTGGAGGGTAATTTATTAATTAATGAGTGGATTTAATTGTTCATGTGAGAACATTAATTAATTGCTCATGATTTTTCAAGACTATTTCAAATGCCACCGACCGATCCTGTTATTTATCGATTTTACGAAATTTTGCAGGTGAAAAATTTTACAATTGACAAAAACAAGCTTTTAATATATCAATATTTAACGATCGTATCTCTATGATTTTAGGTGTATGGATATCCACTCAAAGCGATTATTAACGAGAAAGTAAATTATAGATTCTAAATAAACTTTATTGTTATTTCCGTTTCTCATTATGATAAAAATCTAATATGAATTTTCTTAGTTTGGTGATGGGATTATGTCTGCTATTGACTTCACTGCCAAGGTTGAAAAGGTAATTTAAATTCCTTTTATTATTATTATTTGAGATTTGCATCTATGGAACGTGCTCATAGTCATTCATGCATCCAAACTTATATATAGATTGAAAAAGATGATCACGAAAGAGTTAAGATTACGTTTGATGGAAAATTTTTGCCATTCAAAAAATGGTAAATGATGACCAAAATTGAAAAAAAACCTCGTGCCGTATTTAACCTCTTATCTACCAATCACAATTTGTAATTCTGTAATTATAAAAATGAGTTTTTTTTTTTTAATGTGAATGTAATAATAATAATAACTTTTCGACCTTCCTTGGAATTTTGTTATTTTTGTACAAAATAAAAAAATAAAAAACCTTTCAACTTTAAAGAAATAAAATTATAAAATGGCTGATCTTAATACTCTCGCAACTCAATTTGTTCAATATTATTACGGTGTGTTCGCTTCCGACAGGAATAACCTCAAACCACTTTACGTAAGTGTTATTTATAAAAAAAAAGTTGACCGTGTTACTGCCTCTTCTTCTTAACTTCAAGCGTGTTTGTCCTGTGTAAATATCTTAAATGCTCTTAATTGTTATCATTTGTATTTTATTCTGTTTTATTTTATTTTATTTTATTTATTTTCTCGCGTGAAAACCATGTATTCAACAAAATCAATACTTTAATACTCCTACATTTAGCGTGATGATTCTATGTTAACCTTTGAGGGCGCCCCGTTTAAAGGAGTTAATGATATTATCTCAAAATTAACCGTAAATATTCATATCATACTCTACATATTTGTTTATCTATTTATATTTTGAATTTCTAACTATTTATTTGTTTTTAGAGTTTGCCATTTCAACAAGTGGCACATCGTATTGCTACCCTGGATGCTCAGCCAAGTATTAATAACGGTATCTTTGTGATGGTTACTGGCGAGTTGCTGGTAAAATAATCAATTTAAAATCTTTTCAAATCGATTTTAGAAATTTTATTTCAATTTAAAACCTATTCCTTTCGTTAAATCTAATTAAGATTGACCAGGAAACCAACGCGACAAGATTCTCTCAAGCTTTTCAGCTCATTCCTGAAGGAAGCACTTATTGGGTGCTTAATGATGTTTTCCGTTTGAATTATGGTTAAATACACAGACTATTATTTTTCTTCCTAACAATGCAGTCTATCTATATATATATATATTAAAAGCATCTAAAGATTTATTGTACATTTATTTTAAACTCTTTTAAACAAAAAGAAAAAAAAATCATCGAGAGATTGTATTCAATCAATAATTAATTTATTGTGCCCCGTTTTAATGTCTATTTTATTAATAATTCTTAAATAAATCAAATAATAAATTATCATTATACTGCATTTCTATAGCCAAAATATGTCTTTTTATTATAATAATTGGATATATAGTATACACAACTCAGTATAAAAATTGTTTAAGTAAAAATACAACCATTGATTGATTATATCTTGGCTAACAGAATCGCAAGTAGCAATATAAAAAGAAAGAAAAGGAAAAAAAATAAATTCAAGATCGAAATAAAATAATTGAACCATCGTATTACGCGTTATAATCGGATAAGGGGCAATCCTTTTGAATGTGCCCTTCCTAGATAGATGTATGAAAAAAATTTGTTATAAATTGACCAAGATTTAAAAATAAATAAATAAAAAATCATGCAACAAATAAGCATTGTTACCTGTTGACATTTGTAGCAGACTTTAGAACCTCGCGGATGATCGCAATCTCTGCTTTGGTGTCCAGAACGTCCACAGTTATAACATTTTTGTTCCTTATCGCAATCTCTACGAAAAGAATAGCATTTGTGTGAGATTATTCGTTATTTTGTAACTTAATATACTAAATTAATTAAACCAGTTAATTTTTGTACCGTTGATAATGGCCATATTCTAAAAGTTCAATAAAGGATTAATAAGCATATTAAATTATGTATAAAAACGCGTGAAAACATTTGAAAATTAAATATATCGTACCACCACAACTAAAGCATGTCTTGCCATTACCACCACCGGGAGAATAACTACTGTAATACCCTCTTCCTCCTCCTCCTCCGCCTGTTCGACAATTACGAGAAATATGCCCAATCTAAAAATACATTATATAATATGAACTCCATTGACCAAATAAGGATTTAGTATATGCATGAATCATACCTTTCCACACTATAATAATAATAATAATAAAATTAGAAATTGATTAAAGATTAAAGTAGAACGCTCAGTTAATAATTATTCACATGCCTTGTAACATTCGGTACCAGAGTTGTTACTTCGTGATGAACCGTAATCATTTTCATTGTTGTCATCGCAATCTTTGGCAAAATGCCCAGATCTTCCGCATTTAAAGCTGTTAGAGAAAAATTATTAATATTCTTCGTTAATTTTTAAAATGATATAAACAGGATTATTATTAAATTTTTTTTTTTACCAATCTCGACTAACTGCGCCTCCACCACCATTTCCATTATCAGGGCAATTACGCGATATATGACCAGACTATAAATTCAACGTTTTCTTTGATTAAAAAATCGATCGTTATTGTTATGAGACATGAAGATCACATTATAATACTGTACTACCTCTCCGCACTATCAACGATATATAAAATAAGCAAATTTTTTACATTATTTAGAGATGAAAACGCTATAAATTAAATCAATATAAACTTTTAAGAAAATTTTATGTACCTTATAACACCCTTTGGATCTGTATCCGGAACTATAGTTATCATCATCTTGAGAACTGTCACAATTTTTGGCCATATGTCCTATCTATGAAACAATATTGTTAAATTAATGTGAAACCGCTGAGCTTAAAAGATATTAAATTATAAAAATATGCTTACTTTGCCGCACTATTTATTATTAGAGTAAAGGAAACGTTATTCGGGTTAAAATTTTAATTGAACGAGGAATTGAATGCCAAAGACAAAAGTCACCTTGTAACATTCGGATCCAGATCTAGATCCACACGTACAATCATGAGACTTTATCGCAAAAAAAAATTTTTTTGTAAGTTATCCAATTGGTTTTAAATTGTACAATTGAGTAAGCTTAATTACTACTAACCAAGTGTCCAGTTTTACCACATGAATAACATGTCTTTTCTTTACGTTCATCACATTCACGACTTAAAACATTCCAATTCAATTAATACTTATTTATATGATTCAGAAAATCAATACCCGTCATACCTAATGTGTCCTGCTTTGCTATTATTTAAAAAAAACCGCTTAATACTGAAAAACATTATTTTCTTTTTAAAAGAATAACCATGTCAAAGAAATACGTACCCGCAATTAAAACTTTAATCGTAAATAAAAATCAATTAATTTGATACGATCATTCATTGATTCAATAAAATTTAAAGGTAATATACATACCAGACATCGTTGGACTGAGAACAATCACGAGCAATGTGATCACCTACAAGAAAACGCGAATTCTATTGGTTTGTACAAGCAAAACGCTATAAATATATATTTATTTATTTACTTTCACCGCATTTGTAACAGCCGTTTCCGCCACTTTTATTTCTATATGACATTATCGTTACTTTTTCAACAATGAGAAAAGAAACGGATAAAGATCTTTTGACAATGTTTTGAGAGATTTATAATACCGTAAATCATTTCCATTATTTCGGCCAGCTTTAAAACGGATTTTAAAAAATTTTTTGATTTTTCCGAGATCGAATTTTTTTTTGGCTTATCATATCATATGACCTTGCCAAGTTGCTGCGGACTTTTTGAACTAACTAGACAAAGGTTAAGGTAACCTCGGATTTTTGAAAAACCTTATAAATACCACGAACGCTACTTTCTTTCAAGTGAACAATTTTATTTTTTTGATCTGCTCAACATAGAAACCATGACTGAAGAAAAACAACTCATTTTAGACACTAAAACCTTTCACAAACGCGCACGCATTTTGCAAACTACCTGGAAGGTACGTTTTCATCTTTTTGAAAATTTTTGTAGTTTCGCCAAAGTTTATGCATTACTTTTGCCTAAATCACGAAAACGAGCGTGTATATTACTGCTATTTTCGTTCTTATTTAAAAAGACGCGCGAAAAGGTAGAATTTTGCTAAGAGTTTCTTCATTGTAATAATTACATATTGTCCTTATATAGGAATCGTTGAGTAAAGATTCTGGTGACGAGTTTCAAGGAGCTGAAACAATACTCGTTATTGTCGGTGATCTACTAGAAGAATATCCATATCAAAAGTCTACGGCGATTCAGGTTTGTATTATATGAACATGACTTTCCATTATAAAAAGCTCATTCTGAATCAAAATTTTTTTATTTACTTATTCACAACGTAGACATGGCTTTTGGGTTATGAATGGAAGGATACATTAATCCTGTTTACACAAGACAAAATACATTTTGTGATTAAAGAAAGGATAGGTAATAAAATTATCATGATAATATGCTTTAAAAAAGTAGATTTCATTATTATGTATGCTTTATCTAAATTTATTATTACAGCTGAAGTTTTAGAACAGTTAAATCATGGCGATAAACAATTATCCATCGAGATTCATAAATATACTAAGGATCAATCACAAAACAAGAAAATTTTTGAATCCATCCTTAGTTGTATAGCTAAAGGAGACAAGGTATTATATTATATTATATTATTTTTATCATTATATATTATTAGAAACTTTGAATAACTTCAATATGTTCTTTCACTAGAAACGCCTTGGAATACTGCCAAAAGATTTGAAGGAAGGAAATTTTGTACAAGAATGGCAGGAAGTTTATGAAGATTTAAAAGCCGACATTGAAGAAGTTGATGTCAGTGCTGGTATTGCATCAGTTTTAGCTATTAAAGATGATGATGAATTGGTATGTTAATGATTATAACTGATCGTTTGCTGTTAAAATCAAGATACGAGATAGTAAATGATATGATCCGTAACGTGATTTTAATGGTATAAGTTACTCATATGTTAGTAATTATTATGCATCAGAAGAACGTTTAAGCTTAATACGATGATTTTAACAATAATTCCTTTTAATGTTTAGAAAACAATCAAAGCTGCCTGCAAACTTAGTTCCTTGGTAATGCAACATTTCATTGGAGTTGTGACTTCCATTATTGATGAAGAGAAAAAAGTCACTCATGAAAAGTTATCTGAAGATATTGACAACATATTGATAAGTGATCAAAATTCTTTCCTAAAAAAAGGAGTTCAAGACGTATGTATTGCTGATAATTAATGATATGCAAAGTAATGGTTCATATATAACATTATGTTACAACATTATATCAGGTTGATCTTTCGCGAGCAGATTTTTGTTATAGTCCAATTATTCAAAGCGGTGGTGTCTATGATTTTAAATCTTCGGCCGAATCTGATGAACGAGTATTACATGACGGAACAATTCTTTGTTCATTTGGTCTACGTTACAAATCTTATTGCTCAAACATTGGCAGAACTATTTTATTTAACCCGACTAAGGTATTTTTTTGTGGAGGTTTTAGTTAAAAGGAAAGTTTATTACTTAGTTAACAAGGGCTTATTCTTTCTTTTTTTTTAAGGAACAAGAAAAGAATTATGAAATTCTTTTAGAACTGCAGCGGCGTATTGTTGATAATATAAAAAGCGGTGTTAAACTTCGCGATGTTTATTTGAAAGCCGTAAATTTTGTTAAAAGCAAGAAATCCGATCTTGTTAACCATTTCGTAAAGAGCCTTGGTCATGGGGTAAGGATTTAGTATTTTAACCGCCTTTTTTTTTAAAAAAAAAAAAATTTGAATACTTAAATTATATAATATCATTTAACTTTATTTAATTTTATTTTTTAGATGGGAATTGAATTTAGAGAATCTGCATATTCTATTAATTCCAAAAACGTTAAAGAATTCAAGCCTGGAATGGTTTTTAATTTGTTTATCGGTTTTCAAAATTTAGAAAATCCAAAAGCCACAGATGAAAAAGGCAAAATGTACCTAAGTTAATCTTAAATATTATAAATATCATTTGTTGAATATTCCTCAGACTAAATCATCCTTTCTCGAATTTTGGGTTCATAGCTATTCACTTTGGATAATAGATACCATTAGAGTTTCTAATGAAACAGCAACTTTACTCACAGAGGGAAATAGAAAATTAGATAATATGGCCTTTTCTTTTCAGGTACTTGTAACATATCTATCTATAATTTTTTTTTTAAAAAAAAAATACATAACAATGCTTATTTCGTTTGTTTAGGATGGGCCTGAAAGTGATCAAGAATCAAAAAAAGAGAACAAACGTTCTGCTCAAAAAGTTGAGTCAAAAAGATCCGCTGCAAGGAAATCTACCATTTTGAAAAGTAAATTCAGAAGTGAAGATAAAGTAAGATTTTTTTTTAATACTTTCAATCGTCAATTTCAAACATTAACGTGTTGCTACCTTACTCCTTTTTGTTATAGGATGAAGATTCCGAGCAAAAACGTAAAGATCATCAGGCAGAATTGGCTAAGCAAAAGCAAGCCGAAGGTTTGGCTCGTTTTGGAGATGGTATAGATCATCAAACAAGCCAGAGAGAAGCCGTTTTTAGAAAATTCGAAAGTTATAAGAGAGATACGGCCCTTCCCAAGGAAGTCAAAGATTTAAAGGTATAAATAACTGTAATTTAAAACTAATACATTATATGTCATTAAATAATTAAATTGATATTATAGATAGTAGTGGATCAAAGAAATGAATCAGTTGTTCTTCCGGTGTTCGGGCTAGCTGTTCCTTTTCATATTTCTACTTTGAAGAATGTAAATAAGTCAGAAGAGGGAGATTTTACTTATTTGCGTATAAATTTCCTAACGCCTGGACAAGCTTCTGGAAAAAAGGAAGATATGGTAATATTTAATTTATGTTTTCTTTACATTTATCAACCTATACATTGATTTTACAAATTTCATTCTTTTTATATCTTCAGCCATTCGATGATCCAACCGCTAACTTTGTACGTGCTGTCACTTATCGAAGCACGGATGAGAATTTGTCTGAAATATATAGGAAGATTGTGGAGCTTAAAAAGACCGCTGCAAAAAAGTGGGGCAATTTGCACAAACATTTTTAATTTATTTAAATGGCAAAATCCAATAATTGACTTAATGTCTCTTGTTCTGTGATTAGAGAAGCTGAAAGGAAAGAAATGTCGGATCTAGTTGAACAAGATAAGCTGATTGAGTTAAGAGGTATTCCATTCATCATTTTATGTATTCGATATTTTTTTTTTTAAAAAACCTATACCTCCACTAAATCTCTTATTTTTTAGGTCGACGACCAACAAATCGATTGTCGGACGTATTCGTTCGTCCAGGCCTGGACGGAAAACGTATACCTGGTGAATTAGAAATTCATGAGAATGGTTTGCGATATCAATCACATCGCTCCAACCAAAAACTAGGTTGACAATAATTAATATTTCTTTATCGTTATTTTTCATGGAAGTAAAACTTTATTAAATTGTAATTTATGGAACGAAATTTAGATATTCTATTTAGCAACATTCAACATTTATTCTTCCAGCCATGTGATAATGAACTTATCGTGTTATTACATATACACCTTAAGAATCCGGTTATACACGGGAAGAAAAAAACCCAGGTTTGTCAAATTACATTGTCGTTATTATTTTGGGGATGACATTCAACTTAGTAACATCAACGCTTAAATTAAAAAGGATATACAATTTTATCGTGAAGCATCTGATGTACAATTTGATGAAACAGGGAATAGAAAAAGAAAATATCGCTATGGCGATGAAGATGAACTTGGAGCTGAACAGGAAGAAAGGAGGCGGAGAGCTCTATTGAATAAGGAATTTAAAGCCTTCTCGGAGAAGATTGCAGAAGCAGTAAGGAATAAACTTTACCTTAAATATATTTCTTTTGCGAATTTCTGTATACTTTTATTCATCATGACAAATTTTTGTTATACTTTAAGAGTGAAGGCCGAGTGGATGTTGATATCCCCTTCAGAGAAATTGCCTTTCAGGGTGTTCCTTTCCGAACCAATGTGTTATTACAGCCCACAACGGATTGTCTCGTTCATTTAACGGATCCTCCATTTTTAGTAATTACAATCGCTGATGTTGAAATTGCTCATTTGGAGCGTGTTCAGGTAAAGTCATTGCTTCTCTTCAATGTCGAATCGTCATTTTATTCTAATATTTTTGTATAATACTAGTATGGGTTGAAAAACTTTGATCTGGTTTTTATTTTCAAAGATTACACACGAAATCCAGTGCATATCAACACAATTCCCATGAATCAATTGGAAAATGTTAAAGATTGGCTCGAGTAAGTATACATAAAATCTTTTTAATATATTTTTTTACTACACGATATCAATACAACTTACAATGGGTGTTAAAAAAACTATAGTCACGTGGACTTGGTTTTCTACGAGGGACCACAAAATTTAAATTGGACTCAAATTATGAGGACAATTAGTAAAGATCCGGCAGATTTCTATAAAAACGGAGGATGGTCTTTCTTAAGTATGCATAGCGAGGTAAATGTCCGTGATTATAATGATAGGAAGGATTTTTTTCCTACCCGTCAGTAATTTCTAATTGAACTATCTTAGGGTGATGATTCGGAGACCTCTACGGAAACAGCTAGTGAATATGTTCTCAGCGAGAGTGAATTTAGCGATAGTAGCGTATGTGTCGATATTTGTTGTAATTGATAATATCTTGTAAATATATGAAACTAATTCTTTGCAATTTATCAGAGCGATGATGATAGTCGTGTTGACGAAGAAGTTTCTGAATATTCAGAAGAAACAACTGATGATAGTGGTGAAAGTTGGGATGAGCTTGAAGAAAAAGCGCGTAAAGGTAAATATATTTTATAATTTTGAATCAATCCATTTTTAAAATACGTAGTAGAAATGGAAAATAACAACGAAATTTTATTTATAGCTGACGAACGAAAGGAGGTGCCGAAACGTAAAGAAGTATTTGAAGACACGCGAGGGAAAAACAAAAAAACTCGTCGTTGATCATTTAATTAAAATGTATTAAATGTTTTACAAATTATTATTTTTTTTTCATAAACGAAAAAGAGATGAATTTTTTTTACTATAAATACTGAAACAAAAATATATACAAAAGAAAAAAAAAAATTTTTTTTTTTCATCAATTCCCGATAATATATAATAATACTTTCACACGTCCGAGAAAAGAAAAAAAAAAAAAAAAAAAATAAATTTCATTTTTTTTTTTTTTAAAAAAAAACATTATAATATATAATAATATAATAATAATAATAATAAGAGTAATGATATATGTTATCTACAAAATTATTATAAAAGTTCTTGAATTATTTTCCTTTTTTTTTTTTAAGATTATCGACTACCAACATCCTCCCAACTACCACCTAAAATTTCTTTTAAACTGTTCTCGTCCACCGCACTTTTTTGCCAACCGGATAAAAGTCCTTCGGGTTCATTTGTAATACTTTCAATATCTTCTTCAGTAATACCATCAGCATCTCCCATAGTTATACAACCTAGGTGACCGGATTTACGTCTTAATTGAGCCAAATATCTTAAAGAATCACACGTTACAAACCTACAACCTATTATCGTCAAGCAAACCAAAGAAAAACAATTATTTGTTATAGATTGTATTGAATAATTGGTTATAGAATTCATATAAGATAAATCCAACAATTGTAAATTTGGACATTGTTTTGTTAATAAAGTTATTGAAGCGTCAGTTATATCATTGTCATTATCATCATCAACTCCAACCACATCATTAAAATTATTAATATAAGTTATGGGAAGAAGGGAAGTACTAACGAGAGCGGAAGAATAAACGGCTTCTAACGGAGAGGGTCTCGCCAAATTTAACCATTCTAAATTTTCCCCACAAGAATTCGCTATGACTCTCACGGATGAATCAGTAATTCTACCTATTCTCGCAATATCTAACCAAGATAATCGGGTGCAATTTTGTACCAAAACTTCAATTGATTGTTCAGTCACCCTTGGACAATCGGATAACCTTATCTGTCGCAATCTAGGACAAGATCTCGCTATAAATATGACACCCTTATCGGAAATTTTACCACAATCAGTCATGCTTAAAGAGGTAAGAGAATGACACGATTTTGATAGATATTTTAAACCCAAATCAGTGATCTTCCTACAACCACACAAGTTAATTGAAATTAAAGAGGAGGAACAAGAATTCTTCGCCAGAACTTCTAATGAAGCATCGGATATGTGAGTACATCTACTTAGGTTGATACGTCTTAAATTAGGACAGGATATCGCTATTGAATGAATCGTACCATCGGTGACGTGATCGTGACCAGTCGATAAATCAAGCACCCTTATGAGAGGACCATATTTTTTAATGGGAAAATTTTGGGATAAATGACAAATTTGAGGTGATTTATAAAGGAAAGGGGTTACTATATGATTCCATGATTTACATACGAATAAACAACTGTAAAGATCTTTCTTTTTTGGTAATTGTTCAAGCACACACAACATTAATTCTATGGGTAAATGATGAATTGTCGTTTTTTTGACCACGTGATATTTTTGTTTGTTCATAATGGAAATACCGGACGAGCTACGCTTGGAGGATTTGACGGGTGAATTAGTTGAAGTTCGCCTTCTTTGAATCCTCATTGGTGTATTAATATTACCATCTGAAATCAATTTTAATTTTCGTCGCTGTTCCTCAATAAGTAATCTTGCGTTACTAATTGAAGAGGAGGAAGAAGTGGTGGTATAAGAGGAGGAGGAGTGGGAGTGGGAGTGGGAGGAGTGGGAGGAGTGAGAAGAGGAGGAAGCGGTGGAAGAACGAAATTGCTGCCTTCTTCTCTTTTTTCCATGACGAGTCGATGAAGGATAACCATTACCACTGTTTAATAAAGAATTTAAAGAAATGCTCCCCTTCTTGTAATCCAATGGTTTTGATAAAATTTGTTTTATGATTGTCTCCGTCAAATTTAACACTGGCCTACAAAAGAAGAGTATGGTAGAACACCATAATCTCATTCCGATATAAATCAAATTTAAAACCATTTTCCTTTTTTTTTCGTTTAAAAAAGTTTTTTCGTGTTGTTTTTAATATTTTTGATAGTACTTGAGCTTTTTTTTTTTTTCATATAATATAATATATATTATATTATATATATAAAAGATGATGGGAAAGAAATTATATAATTTTTATATAATAATTTTGAAAAGAAAAAAAAAAATTTCGAGAAAGTGCTAATAATGATAAAAAATAAAAAGAAAATTTTCGTTTCTTTTTTTTTTTTTTTTCTTTTTAGAAAAAAAAAATTTATAACAAATGCTGTTTTCTTATATATAGTAAGAGATGAAATTTTTTTTTTTTTTTTTTACTGTCAAACAACACCCTCACATTAAACTGACGAGTCAACTATATATAAGGTTTTTTATATGTGGTTTTAACTACATGATTTACAATATTTGGGTGATATAAATAAAAAAAAAAAAAAAATTTTTTTTTTTCACTTTACATTGTATTATTATTATATAGTATAAAAATTTAATATATATTAAAATACTAATATAGAAAGAAAAAAAAAAATAATTATTTTGTACCGTTAGGCGTTTTGGGATTATATAATTGGATACCAAAAGTATAAGGTAGGGGGAGGGAAGGGAAAGCGATCACACCGGATTTAAGAGGTATCTTGAGATGGCGAAAAGAATCAAAAAAGAAGCGAGCACATAACATAAATGTTCACGAAAACACAAAATACACACAAAAATGTCAAATAAGAAGGGGTGAGGGGAGAGGGGGGGAAATCACAATAAAGCTGTCAGATGGATACTTTATGTGGTGACCATTGTAATCATTATGATTTTTTTAAAGTTTATAATCATTATATAACCCGTACAGAAAGAAGTAATATAAAAAGTCAATAATTGAAAAAATAATATCAATAATAAAAAAAAAAAACGAATTAAGATTAGCGAAAACAATCTTTTTGGTGATGATTACCGAATATTTTTTTGTTGTTGTTGTTGTTGAGAGTTCAAAAGGTGATTGATTTTAACCAAATTTTTTTTTTTATATATATATTTCAAAGTGGTTTCAAAAGTAAAGAAATTTTTTTTTTTTAAAAAAAAAAAAACATTTTATATTCGGCGTAAATGTTTACTTATTTATTTATTTATAGTTGGACAAAATTAAAAAAACTAAGATAACTTCATAAATCATAGTCAACCTTCCATGCCCTTTACAAAAAAAATAAAACAGAATGTGGATTTAACGAGATAAAGGAACCTTGGTTTGATTTCGAAACATAAACTCCCTCCTGAATTAAGTTTTAAAAAGTGGAGAGGTAAAAAAAAACCAATGACGTTGCAACAAAGACCAAAACAAAAAAAAAAAAATAAACGTAAACATCAAAAATTTGACATATGAAAAAGATCCCAACATTACTTTTTATATAATAAACAAACTTGTGGGAACAATACCACAAGAAAAAATGAAATGAAGGAAAAAGGAAAAAAAAAAAATGCCCACAAACAAATCAGCAAATGAAAGAAAAAAGGATGCAAAACAAAGCAAAGAGTACTTTTAATAATTTGGTTGGATCAGATGAAAATCGGGATTCAATCTGTGAGAAATTTATTTATATTTATTTTCCTTTAAAAAAAAAATGATCAAAGTAATCGATAAAATTGAAATAAACATTTTCATGATATTTTTTTTTTAAAAAAGATGTTTTAGGTGAGTGAATTCACCTTTTTTTTTTTTTTCAAAAAAACTTCTATTTATAAATAATGATGCAATTTTCCGTGCTATTTACCTCAAAAAAAAAAAAAAGAGAGAGAGAAGGAGAGAGAAACCTGATTTTTGATGATTTTTCAATGTTGGGCATATTTTAAATATATATTGACAAGATAACAAAGCAACAAATAAGATGTATTCTTTATAGGAGAATCTAGTTTACGCGAATTCACGAATTACAACATATGAATGCATATCGCGAGCGAACTTGTTATTTTCACCTACATATTTTTACACACCAATTGAAAATTACGTATGTTACACGGCATCTCAACTTATTTAGGCTGTATAATTTTCATGTAACCAAACCAAAAACTATCTTACTTTAAGAGAGACCGCCGAAAACTAATAATTCTTCCTATGAGAGAATTATTGGATAAATTTAACAAAATGAGAAAGTGAAAATGAGGGAGTACATGTTGCTCCATTTTCTCTAATAAAAAAAAAATTGTCACCCGCTAGTTAGAATAAAGCAAGATCGGGCGGCCAACAACTAAACAATGCGTAAAATTCGAACAGTTTTTTTTATACATATTCAAATTCATAATAGTACAATCAATTTTAAATATGTAAAGTCAAATTATTAGATCCGATTCATGGTTCTCCAAAAAAGTGAAACTCATTGATGTAAATCCTTAATAATTACCTAATGTTTAGAATAAATTGTGTGTTACTAGTATAAATTAAGAAATATATTTTTTAATTTAAAGTTTGATGACTTTTGAAATACGTAGTATGCTTGCAAAAGGTCACACGATACTCGAATTTAAATTAATTTGTTTATGGAGTACTAACGGAATTCTTTAAAGAAGGAAAAAAAAATTTTTTAATTTTTTTTTTAAAAATGTAAACTCAATAGACACACATTTAGTAAAAAAAAAAAATTGAAAATAATAATGGTGAATGATCCCCCTCCTAAATTCGTGACACAATGATAAACCGTATTGTTTGTCTAATATATATGACATCATATAAACCTTAATCAAGTAACTGTATGGAAAATTGAACATCGCCAAGGGTCCTTCCAATAATGAAATGGTATTTCTTGTAGAATCCATAAGTGGTATGTCTTCCTTGCCACGAGACATTACTTCTGTTTATTTTTTTTTTAAAAAAAAAATTTCTAGAAAAATTATCTTGATGGTATCCCGCTTTTATATAAAGGAACATGCGATTGTGAATATTGTGATTTTTTTTAAAAAATTCAACAATAGATAATCTCAAAATGTGTTCTCCTTTGATAAACGCACATAAAGATAACATGGTATGGTAATGTATGATATCATCAACAACGAATGAATTATGCACCACTAATCTACATTACAATGACAATAGTGATAATTCATTCATGTCAAGCTTATTATTGATTTTCCCATAAAAGATCTTCAAAGAACAATATGTACCTTATAAAGGTTTGAGTTTCTCATGAAATTCCATGACAATTTTCGAACAGCATACAAAACAAGAAAAAGGTAAATAAACAATACATTTTAAGAGTTTCACAAATATCACCTATTTAAATTTGTTTTTGTTTACTATATAAAGAAAAAATAAGACTTAACAAGTAAAGGGAACGAATAATCCAATTACTATGGGACTTGTGAGATTTTAGTCGAAAATAAACTACACGAATCTTTATATCTTGGATTTAATTTCCTTGTTAAACGGTTAGACCAACATGTTGAAAATATTTCGCAATAAGATTTTATTCTCTTGATAATCTTCACCTCAAAGTACTTTTTATGGTAATCTCGATTATATCACTCATGAGAAAAAAAGCACCAAAATTTCAAACTTGATTGTTTTAAGGCCGAAACTTATTTATTAGCTCCAATCAGATCGTGCATTTAGACATTGATTTACCTTATTAGCACTAAATTAGGGGTACATTGATATATAATTTATCATTGTATCGGTCAGTTGATCATCTGTCAAATTTTTTTTGTTTTCAAGGAGGAAAGCCACTTTATTTATTTATTTATTACACTATTTATTTAAAAATAAACAAAAACATCAAGACTTCAACGAGAAAAGGCTATAAAATCCTACTAGGTTTTTTTCAGCAAAAAAAAATTTTTTTTTATTCCCAATCATTTTCCTACCGAAGCCACTTTACCTAAAAAATTGAGGCTTTTTTTTTAAAAAAAAAATGCTTTATTTATTTAATTCCAGCTCTTTAAAGAGACTATATATATGTATATATGTATATGGATGGGGCAATGGTCCGTCAGAATTTCTGGTATCCTGTAACGCAATAGATGGTCATTATTATATACACATAGGTAAGCCCGATTTATCTCATTCTAACTGCCATGTGGTAATGTGAGGATATAAAAGGTTGGTTAAAAAAAGAAAAGTTGACGCATTGACTGAGTTTATATAATGGCAATCAGGTTCAATACTTGTCCTTGTTGGTTGGTCAAGCTATGTCAACATAATCATACTGATAAAACAATAGACGCATCACATGATTACATAATCTCATCCCAGTAAACCCTCTTTTGTTATTTGTTTAAGTAAAATACCCCAAGGTCAACATCTTAAATCATAATCTTTATTATTCCCCACCCCCGCAATAAATAATTCAATACCTAAATTAGTTAAATATAATACAAAAAATATTTAAGCATAAAATGATCTTTCCGAACGGGTAATTTTTTAAATTAAGTTCAGGAAGATCCCCAAACAGAATTTGTGAAAATAGAAACATTATGATATAATGAAAAAAATAAAAAAATATGTGGGTATAATCGATTACTTATTCATTAGTATGACTGAATCAAAAGGATATTAACTGCATCTGGTGATAATTGATTAAAAAAAACCGGATTTTTACAATAGTTGGTTATAGAAATTTTCTTAAAAAAGAACTTTTTATTTTCTTTTTGAAAAATTAACGCACTGACAGCATTCAAAAAAAACTTTAAAAATCAAGACCATACTAAGAAATGCTAACCTTCCTTTAGGTGGTTCAATAAATATTTTTCGAACTTTTGACATATGAATTTGACATTTTCTCACGTGAAACTATTACAAAAGCGGTCCGTGTCATTCTTGACGATCCCGCTGTAGAAAGTCCCTTCAGGTAGGTTTTTCTTTTTAATCATTCGAAGAACCGAAACTCATAATATTTTATTGTTATTGTTATTTATTCCATTAATTAATTATTATTTATCTTTTTTGATTCAAAATAATTAATTATAATAAAGTTATTTATTTTACCGAGATGGAATATTTGTTATACAAATCATTTACTTTATTAAACACAACAGAAAACGTTGAAAAACAGATCTTTTATCTTTTACACCACTCAAAAGTTCTCTTCACCTTATCTATGCGGGAATCTGTGAAATCATTAAAAAAAATAGATCATGTTTAATCTTTTGTCTATCCTAACAGTATCACTTGTATTTGTCACGTTTAACACTATAAATATTCCTTACAAAGAACAAGTGTTTAATTAGGGTGTGATGCTTAATGCGGTGACATTTAATCTCATGAAAAAAAGATGATACATTTTGACGCCAAAGTCATGGGTGTTGGATTTTTTGATTAAAAATGTAAACAAATATAAATAATGTATTTATCAACTCATATCAAGTGGGTTTCGTTTCTCGGAATTCTTCCGCATTGAAAAAAGGTTATGTAATGTTATTTACTACGGCGCGTTCCAGATCAAAAAAAAAAAAAACTGGTTTGAAAATCAAATATCGCCAATTTTTTTTTTAAAAAAATAAATATATTTATTTAGATATGGCGTAATTATTTATCGTTGGGGATGTGATGAGGTATGCAATTCTTCCAAAGTGTCAACAGCCATGTGGCTATTTGGCAAAACTCGTCACAATATTTAGCAAGTGATAATATGATCCTTCTCCGGTGGATCTTAATTACCCTTTGTTTGACTCGTTAAGTTATCGACCTTCAAAATTTTATAATTTGGTGATTCTGTACGCTTTTTGATTGTTAACTGTCCAATCGAGATAAATTTACCTGCATTAGATTGTCTTGTGATCTCATTATTTTACAAATTATTTTTTCAAGGGTAATCCTTTAAGTCTTTACGTGGTACAACATCGTTATGTAAGTCTTTCATAATTACTTGTTTGTAACATCATTTAGGTTCCCTTTATGGAATGCCGAACAAATTTACACCCGAAAACCGTTTAAGAAACATAGCGACAATCCTTCTCAATGATCAGAAATTAATTGAGTGTCGTTAAATCCTTAAATAAATAAATATCCGATTAATTCTTGATTAATTTCAAAGTTCCCGAAGTTTTTCTATTGTGTAAAGCTGGTATAAAAATATAATCGAAATATTATTAAAAATGAACGTAAATAAATCCAGATTAGAAAACAAAGAACTGATTGAAGATTAGATTTGAGGTTTGGAAGGGAAAAGATGTTTAGTAAATTCAGCTTTGAATCGGAGAAAGGATGGACATGATGATTTTCTTATATCATTCATTAAAAAATCAAAAAAAATCCAAGATATCTAATAATTTGGTGTATTAAAAAAAAAAAGATTTTTAGGAGATAATATAAATAGAAAGGTCTTCCAAGAATGTCATTTAATTATCCGTGTTTAATTACCAATTTAGGAATAACATGAAATGCGTGCTAATCCATTAATTAACTGCTAAACGAATAATGATTGAAATTCTACCAAATATCGCAATTTAACATCATTTGAATTCGCCATAAAAATTTTGTTAATTACATACATGACCTATTAGATCTAAGTTATAACAAGTAGGAAAAAAAAAGTGGCGATACGAAGAGAATTTTTAAGATCATGTTATTTCAAGCAATGCTATTATGTTTCGTGATAATCTTCTATAATATAATAAATCGTTTTTAATAGTAAATATATCATAACATTTACAATATAAATAATTACATCTTTTAAAACGGAGAATGCCCGGTTTGTAAAAAACTGATCCCATTATAACAAAATATTGATTATATTTTTGCCGATTATTTTACGATTTGTAGATTTTAATGTTACAAGACAAATTTTGATAGAGAAAATTATCAAACAAGATTTTATTTGTATGTATTATGTATTTTTATAATATACAAGATATATTGATTAAATATCAAAAAAATGGACTAATCTAAGAATTTTTAAACAATAGTAAATCAAAAAACATCTAATTAATATTATCGTTATTATCTAGATAAAAAAAAAAGGGTAGCCAAAAATTTCTATATATTTTATTTCTTAAATTTTACTGATCCAAAATTTTTATATTAATCAATCTCAATCTACAATTTATAAAAGTTCGTAGTTGTTATAAATATACAAACCTAAACATGTAGCTTAAAATTTTACAAAACTTTCTTTTAATAGGTTTTCTTAAACTTAATAAAATTTAAAAAAAAGTTTAGGTAAATATATTTATTATAAATCCCTATAAATAATTTGTATAAAAAAAGTATATAAAAAAATATGTTTAAAAATCTTATAATAAACATAAAATAACAGTATAACAAATTTGTAAATATTTCCATATATTAGATACTGAAAATCATCTTTTTTGTATCCTGAAAAATACTGAATTTTATGTTTAATCATTAAATTACACATGAAATTTTAGTTAAAATTTAAATATTAAACATTAAATTATATATCTGCAATTTTATACATATAAATATTAAATTGTATAAGTAATTTTAATTGAAATTTTATATGCTTAATTATTAAATTATATATTATATGGGTTCTGTGCTAGGAAAATGAGGGTTCTGAGAGGCTTTTGCGAATTTGAGATAAACAATGATCAATATTATATTACACAATTTGACTAATTCTAATTTTAGATGATGATCTAACTACGTGATCTAGCAACTGTGAAACGCGGTTACACTGCTGTATTATGGAGAATTTTGCTAGCAATTTGACCCTTCGAGACAAATTTCAAAAAAAAAATTTAAAAAAATTTTTATTATAATGATAACGAAAATAGTATAATTATAACTAAAAAAATGCAAAGTTCATTTATTATTTACAAGTCTGAGTAATTCAGAAGGTGTGTGTCTTTTTTTTTAAATTCATTCTTTTAAAAATGTTGCTAATCTAACA